TTTGTTTTTTTCAGTATGTTAACTAAGTTTGGTGACTGTTTTGTATTTGAAAGCACAATCAATGTCTCAACTTTCAGTTTCATACAGCAGAACTTCTTGGTCAATCAGTGGACTTCATTATTCTTCTAAGCAGTGTTAATCAAATACTATTATAACATTATTATATATATATATATTATTATATACATGCCACTATAATATTCTATACTATATATAGAATATATATACTATTATCATGTGAAATATCTATTCTAATTTGAACTTGATTTTAAATATTGGTAAAAGCCTTTCCCCCCTCAGCATTTGTGCATGTATTACATTCCTCATGTAATTATTACATTCTAAGGGATTCAAGAGTTTCTTTAAATGCTCAAAGAATAAAATGTATTAAAAGACTGAAATATGTACTCACACAAATAATCAGAAATATAATTAATATTGCACCCCAACATGCTAAGTTATATTTTTTGTTGATCGTCTTATTTTATTGTAGGGAGTATGCAGCAATCTAAGCTTGTATTATGATTAAGAGAAGCCAAGCCAATAAATSCATGTATTTAGAACACCCTTCATTWAATGGGGAAAGAAATACTAAACTTTGGAGTGATGGCAGAAGGGAAGGCTTTTAATAAACAACCTCAAAATCAAATGGAACACTACAGAACTGTTATTTGGAAAGGCTTGAATATCATCCTTAGAAAGGCACATAGCAGACAAATTTCTGAACAAAAGTCTGGAATAGGTTTTGGGTTTGGAACACTGTATTGCCATCTCARTAACTTTATTCAACATCTAGCTCAGATTTTCTAAGGATGATTCAAAGAACTGTAACACAGGATGTGTAAAATACATCAGTGAAAGCATTACTGCAAAATATCTTGAAAGACTTGATTGCTACAAAAAGTAGGAATTTTGTAGCACATTTCAAAGATCAGTGGATGAAATTTGAGCACTGCAATGTATTGTATTGAATTGTATTGAATTGTATTGAACCAYTTGTATTTTCTCTGTCACTATGAAYGGCATCATATGGGTTCCAAGGCATTCACAATTGCAGTTCCAGTTGTTTTGGTTCTATTCTTATAAATGTAATAGGAAAGCAAATTCTTCCAGCCCTATTCCTTAYAAAAGGCACCAGAGCATTTGTAGTCAAAGCAGAGGCCTCAGACACTGCAGTGATTCTGTGCTCAGGTGTTGTTTCCAGAGTGTTGTTTTACTGCTAAAGTCCTTCTGAGATTGTAGGAAACACRCTTCCTTCTCATTCAGAAAGACTGACCTCAGTGTTGCAGAAGAAAGGCTTCCAGATCACCCTTTCTGAAGTGATTCCATCTCAGCTTTAACAACATTTTGCAGCTGACTGGATCCTGTCTGGCTGCCCAGAGCCAGGAGCAGCTCCCTAAGCCCATCTGGATGGCCAAGCCATGCTCTGTATTACAGCACCTCCCAGGGGAGCTTTCCTCTTGCTACAGATGACATTCCTGAGACTTTCTGGCACTACCACGCTGTCAGATTTTATGTCTGAGCTCCACAGATCAATTGTGTTCAGCATCAGCTGTAGGACAAACGCTGTGAGCAATCACCTTGAACTGATGGAAAATAACTTAGCGCCACCAAAATGTGCATTGTCAGTTTATGTAACTTCAGGGGCCAAACACATCTCAGTGAAAACCTTTTTATTGTCAATTTCCTGATACAGTAAATTCCACTCTCCTACTTTGTAATGTTACAACTGAATGCAAATCTGCTTCAAGAAAATTAAACTTCCTAGACCTACCAGCAGCACAGGATATATTGGCAGATGCACTCCATTGCTTTCAGCCAGGTTTTCAACACACCCGTGGATTTCTACTTGGTAGAGTAAAATACCATCACTGACAATTGTGGCAGCTGAAAGATCTTCAATGCATAAAATCTCAAGTGTTTTGTCCCCAGTTCAAGAATTGGTGATTTTTCAAATAATGTGTAGGAATAATAAGCTTTTTACCATAGAAGTAAAAGTCAAGTCTGTAGGAAAAAGAGAAATGTTCTAAAGAGCTGAGCAAAGGAAGTCAATAGCTCAAAAATCCTAATTATTGACACTGTGCTTTACTRTGTGTAGAAATCAGTGTGACCACAGCTGGTTGTGGTGGGAAGGTGTTCATGAGCTCAGACAGAGATGTGCAGCTGTCTGGCACTGTCACAAGAAGGGGAAAGGGGCAGTGGTGAATGGTGGGAAGGAAAAATACACTTYTTCAGCCTAGGGAGGTTCCTGTGAGGAGGCAGCAGGATGCTGTAAGAAACCCCAGACTGTTGCTGCTCTGGCTCCCACACCTGCACTGACAGATGGATTATCAGCRTCCAGAAGCTGCCAGGATAAAACCTTTCACCAAAATCAATGGAAAGAATAAAAATAAATTACAGCATTTTGACAAAACATACTTGTCATCACATATCTTTGCTTTCTTCACTCAGTGATTCCCAATTGCCAAGGTTCTCAAGGAATAACAATATAAAAACTAAAACTCAACCTGTATTTACAGAACATGGAATGAGAACTCATTTATGTAGCACACATGCCTGTGTCTCTCCTTAAGTGTATAAACTGATTCTTTATATAAATACACTGAAATAAAGTTAATATTTACAGAGACATAAACTCTAACAGTGCCCAAACTCAGACTTAGGACATTCATTTTAGATATCACATGAACAAAATATGAGCAGAAAGCATATCCCACAGCAATGTGGGTGTTTCAGTGTGCAGGTACCATATGCACATCTGCTAAATGCCAAAAAAGTAAATCTTGTTGGTAATAGCACTTTGTCCAATGACTGCAATTTGGAATGTTCCTTCAGTCTATCACTGATCTTCTCCAAAGCCTAAATCTACAATTTGCTCAATTAATAAGCAGCAAAATCCATGACTGAAAATCCACATGAAAACAAACACAGATTTTAAGTGTAAGTGTCCATTTAGCACAGAAAATACTAAAATTTTGTTAATCAAATTCTTAAATAACAAATACTAGCCAAATAGAAAAATATCTTTCATTTGGAGGCTGCCCTGCCTCAGAGAAAACTGCATCCTTTTGCTGAGAAAGTACATACTGCTTTTGTGATTTTGCTGAAAGAATATTCTACTCCTTGTAAGCAGCTTAGAAATTTGGGATTTTTGTTTTGTTATACACTTAYAACCCTGCTAGGTTTTGCTTATAAAGCAAATCAAGACAGAGAGATGAAATTCTGCCTCCATGTGAATGTGGAGAGCACAGGTGAAGGATCTGCACTGCAAGAAAAATTGAGAAACAAGAGAAACTCTGAGAGCAGCAAGAATGTGGCAGAGGGAGCAGCAGCAGCTGGGAAAGGAGGATTTCAGTCCTACACCCTGACAGTGTGATCAAACACCAATATTGCCAAACACCAACACTACGAAATTGCTAAATACCAAATACCCATGCAAAGATTCTTCTGTGCAAGAGGATGCCTGGTGGAAAGAGAACTGTGAGAGGAAATGATGCTGCTTCCAGATTTGTCGTATAGAATTGCTTAGTTTTCCTCCTACTGGAAGGGTGAAAGTGTTTTGAAGTCAAGAGATGTTTCATTTTCTYTTACAGATTTATTATGTTTATTTCTTTAGGGATCTCATTGCTTTGATAGCCCTTAATTTTCCTGATGTTAGTGTTAGTTTTTTAGATTTTCATGGTTTGAGCTGTTGAATTCTTTTTCAGTGTTTTTATATAAACAAAGTGCTGAGAAAACCATAAAGAAACTTTTCTAAGTCATGTGAAGCAGATACTTTTCCATAAGCACATCCTAATTTATTTAATAATGCATTTAAATCATATTTAAATTATTTAACYRTGTGCAATACTTAAGGTATAAGATAAACATAATTTTGCTAAATGAAATCATAGAGCATGTCACGTCGCAGCGCAGGCACCGATATAATTTTTCTCCCTAATTATAAACCCCATAAACTAAGAAAATATACATACATACATATGCACACATAATTCAAAAGAAGTACTGAGTTTAAAGAAATCGAGGAGGGAAGGAGGTATTTAAGTTCACTTTCAAAAAATAAACAGCGAACACAAAAATTGAATTTCATCCTGCTGCAGGTTGAAAAGAAATACCGTCAGTAGCAAACAACCCCCTTTTGTTTAGCACTTCCATCTCAATCCTACAAAGCACTTCTGTATCACTCCAAATCAGGGGGAGCTGGGAGAGCAGACAAAGGGTTATTTCATTSCTTTTGTGGGTGCAGAGCCTGGAAGCTGTCAGGAATCACGAGGTGGGAGCACACATTGGCACTGCCACCGGAGCTTGGGGGTGAAGGAAGAGGGGACTCCCATCCCCAGGGCTGCTGGGGTCATCAGCAAACTCTTCTGCAGGGAAGGGCAGGACCCACAGAACCTCCCAAAGTCAGCACAAGCAGCTCAAACAGGGCAGGGCCGTCCAATTCACCTGCTGGGCAGCCCATGCCATGTAAGAAGCAAATGGAGAGGAAGGATGGCTGTGGGTATTGTCAGARCTGCAGCACACAGAGCTCGCTCTCAGCTTTTGGCTCCGTGGTCAGAGCAGCAAGGACAAGGATAATGTGTGCAGTGCCCATGGAAATGGTACTGATGACAGATCTTGACACTGCAGCAAACACTCTTTTTCTTTTCTCTTCTTATTTCATATAAAATAAAACTTGAAAAAGCAAAGCACARCCCAACACAGACAAATTAATCTTCTTCAATATATGGTGAATGCATCTGACTATTTTTCATGAGTACCAGAAAAGACTYCTTCATATTGTTGGGTTAATTTATTTAAAGGCCTAATCTAGCACAGCTCAAAGACAGTTTGGATTTTTTTTTTTCTCCTGCTCTCTGCTGTACAGCAGGTTGCTCACTTGCAATTACTCCACTTTGATTCTCTCCCATCTTTAACTGATTGTCAGTGATCAATTTATTATGTTTGAATAATTGGCTCACAGTGTTTACRTTTTCCTTGGTATACAGCTCAGCTGCACTGAGCTTATGGCTTCATAATCTCTAATAATGAAGTCCAAGACCAGCAAAACCCCAGCCTCTGGTCCATCCCAAAGAGTCACCCAGTGCATTTTGGATGGAATGCTCAAGCCCTGCGTGTTTTCTCAATGGTGGTGCCCACCATCAATAATCATTGAGTAGATGTTCTGTTTGAAATGCTTTAGTGGGCAGGACAAAACAAATTGGGACAAATTAAAGCATCATCCCTTAGTTCTGACTGGATGTTTTCCTTTGCATTAAATAAAATACTTCATCTCTTACACAAACAGATTTTCCATTGTCAAATCTAGTCTATAAACAGGTKATTACTTCACTCCCTCCTACAGCATCTGTTAAAAATGTGGTGCTAAACACAAATAAGTGGCCACCCTCAGAAAACTGGGATTGGGGATGATTCCAGGAGTGCTGGATCCTCCCATCTCAGGTCTCCTTTCCTGGGAGTGGCGTTCAGCTCTCACACACAGGGGCAGCACAGGGAACGTTCTGCCTTTGAGAGACCTGGATTACCAARCAACCCACAAAGCAGAGAGCCTCTGCACACACCCTCACAGGTAATAACTGAACTCAGGGACTCCTGGGATCAGTAATATGTCTTTTTTTTTTTCATACTAGAAATGCACAGGAAAATAAAAAGAAAAAGTATAAAATAGATTTTCAGCACTTCTCTTGTGCTGAAGGAGGACAAGGGAATATGGAACAGTTCTCAAACCATGTGAAAACCATGGAGATTCCAGTGGTGAGTTACAGGTTAAAGGGAAAAGTTTTTTCTTAATTCCCCAGTATGCATAATTTCTGTCAAAGGACAACACATGAAATCACTGTTAGTTTTTAATGATAGCAAGAGCAGGTCAGTAGTCACAACCATGTTCAAAGGTAAGTTAGCACATGAATGGACATGGATTACTGGCAGAACACACTTGCCCTTCAACAGCAGATTATTTTGAACTAGTTTGAGCAATCTCCACCTTTTTACAGACCAAAATGATAACATGGCATCAATGATTTCCCTTAGAGCTGATTAAAACTGCTCAGGRGTGGATATGGCCCAATCCCTTTTCCATCTGAGCCCAGTGGGAAAAGGAGAGGGACACAGTTTTAACATTGCAGTCAAATAAAACATTCTTTTGATAAGAAACTTACTGCAGGCTGACCCCAATACTCTCAATATTTGATGTGCCTGGCATCCACTTACACTCAGATGGYACAGAAAAGAGGAATAGACGAGAATCCARCCACAGTAYCAGCCTTGGCTTTCTTTTATATGAYTTTGATGTTTTTTGTTAAAGCATTGTTTAACAGATAAAAAGTTAATTCTTACCTCTTAAAAGAGCCCATTGTTAGTAACTTGTTCATCACTGCCCCTTCAACCTCCCCAAAAAAGTAACCAGTCTGTAAGGGGGAAATGCAAGGAATTACCAGAATGCAGATAAATGCAAAACAACACAAGATGCAATTTAAACTGGTGAATTCCAGGATCTGACACGAGTGSCTTTGACATTTACACAGACAGTTTTTCAGGACTGCTGCTGCATAAAATCTGAAGAGGACTTCCCAGTCAGTGCAAGTTGCTGGGATTATATTATTAACCCTGAGCAGATGTGAGAGCTTAAACAATATATTGAGGTACATTATATAATGTTTAATATCAGAAATAAAAGCCATCAAAACCGAAAGCTTGCAAAGAAAACACACTAATCTGATCACAAACTCTTGTGATTAAAATGTTACTCAAAAAAGATATAAACAGGTTTTGAGAGGATTTCATAAACAGTCATTAAAAAGCRTTGTTTATAATTCCTGCATGACCTGTTTAAGGAGCTGGAACAGCACATTTCATCAATCCTATAAATTTTAACTCCATTCAGAGTMATTTCATACTTAAAACCACTCAGCCTGATGAATTACTCATTTCRTCCCTATTCAGTACTTGTGAACTAATAAAAATAAATCTCTGTTGAGAAAACAAACATTGGTGTTATGGATTTGGGACGTAGGATGGAAGTGACTTCGTCATCTGCAGCCCTTCATGTGACAGTGGAAAATCTTGCACGAGCAGCACTTTCCTACCTCGGGAAGACCTGTTTTATTTTAAAGGCTCAACTCMCAGAGGGATTGGATATTTCTCTTCATTGTTTAAAGGGAGAAATCCCACAATTTATGAGGGGGAAAGGGCACTGCACTCTCAAATTGCATGGATTCCATAGGTTTGGTATGAACTAAACCCCAATTCCATTACAAGGAACTTAGCTGACCTCAAGTATGCACCTGGGAGTTTGCAGGCAGAAAAGTTACAGCCCTAGCTAAAAAAAGGCATTCCTCCACCTAAAAGGCAAGTATTGCTTTATTTATTTATTTTTTTATTTTTTTATTTTTTTACTCAGGGGAATCTTAGAACATTTTCCAAAACATATGGGTATGCAAAGTCTCCTAGAAACACAAGGAACATGACTAAAAATACCAGCTCTGAGAGCCCTGGGTGACTGATGAAGAAAGATTACCCAGACTGCTGGAGAGGCAGGCAACGTCAAGGAACTCCAAACCATAAATGCCTCATATAACCTTAGATAGCAATAAACCTGATTTATCAACTTGTGCACCAGTCTTATGAAGACATTTCAGTGACAGTTCTCTCCACAAAAGCCTGCTTTGTAAATCCTAGTTGTCCCCCAAAGCAGTCACACTCAGGTTGTCATTATTTTTTTAATACATTGGGATTTAGGTGCAATTCAGAAGAATTAYTCTGCTCCACAAACCTGATTCTTAGAGAAATTCAGGCAATATTTGGACAGCCCATAAGAAAACAGCGCTGAAACAACCCCAGACAGGTGAGGAACTGATAAGGCATCATCCCACCTCCCTACCCCTCCTGCATCCACAGCAGAGTGTATACACACCATATGTAAAATAAACATATACTGCTGTAAACTTATTATAGCTTTMTATAAACTGAGAGACACCTCTGCTGCCCCTCCTGGATTCATTKAAGTAAAAAAACACAGGTCAGAACACATTTCTAGCCTAGTTCTGGTGCCACACTTGCCCAAACTATTGCATATTCACAGGAATATGTATTGGCTGTAGCAGGTGACCACCAGAAGATCTCTTCCTCTTTTGGAAGGAAAATTATKATTGGACACAGCCTACTATGAATTGGCAAATCCCTAACAAAGTCACAGCTRGGCACCTGTAAATAGCAACAACAACAAAAGGGAAATAATGAGACAAACTTGTTTTAAGTGTATCAAGATTATTCCATAATGAGTGCATTTCTTAGGTAATGGTAAACATAAATTTAGTTCTCCTGAGCGCTAAGGAGAAGTGTGACTACTCTTATTCACAATGCCAGCACATAAAAAAAAATAAACTTCAGACAATTCTGCATGACTGGGACACTATCCCAGCACTTTTCAGGCAAAAGTTATTGAGAATGGCGAKGGTTCCCTCATAGGGTTTGCAGGATTGAGCAAAACATTCGACGATTCCGTGATAATCATATTCCCTGTCCTCTCCACTGTGATGCTGAGTGCTCAGTTTTAATCCTCCAATGACTGTAATCCACTTCAGAAGACAAACTCCTCAGCCAACAGTTTTGTAAAATCTCATTTTCTCCAGCTTGAATGTAAAAGCTCCCTTCCTCCCTCCCTCCCCAGCCTTTCCATGTGACACAAATGGCACAGAGAATTTTCTTTTTTTTTTTTTTTTTTTTTTTTGTTTTTAAAACTCTCTTACAGAAGACAAACACTTTTATATCAAGAAAGCTCTTTAGGAGAACATTTCTCAGTTTAAGAACAAACCCTGCTCCAATGGGAGACAGAAACGGAGCTTCTGTGAGAAACAACTTGCATTCTTTCTATGCCTTCTTTTTAGAAAGATTTAAAAAAAATTTATGTTGCCAATTCCTTACCATTTTCAGATGGTGGCCTATTAAAAAAATAATTTTAGATTAAAATGTTACATAAGAAGATTCAAGAAAAATCTTACCCTTACCTGCTGATAGTCTTCAGATACTAAAATAAATCCATTGTTATCTATTAGGTAACAGTTGATTGTCTGAAAAATAATGAAATACTATTTTAATTTTTGATTTTAGGATACAGTAGTAAGTTAATTATGTACTTTACTTCTAATTCTAAATGGGTAAAGCCTTCATGTTTTTATAGGGTTTAACATAAATTCCAAGTGAGTGCAGTCTTGCCTTACGGGATGTTATCCAACTTAATTTTTATGCATTTTTTTCATGCAAAGCAAAGCAAARATGTGTACAGAATAGGAGGATATAAGATAATTAAAACATAAAAACCAAAAGTCTGTGTTGTTATAATCCATTCTTAAAAGCTTTCCTTCTAACAAAGTTTGCAAAGGCACAGAACTTTGGTGATCCTGGTGGCTTCTCTGTGTTTGGAGAAAAACATCAGCCCAATGTCATTACCCTAACGATGTATTAATGAAAACACAGTGTCAGCCTGCAGAACCAACAGGGGACCAGGTAATATTTTTTAATTTGTTCATTGGGGGATGGGACCAGAAACTTCTGTAAAAGAGGCCCCACAGGTCTCCTAAAGCTTTTCAAATTGTATTTTTAATTGGGAGCTGGCTTTAGAGGCAGGACTGTGAGCTTTTCGTAGGTCAGACATCTGAACTGTACAAAACAAGGGAAGGCCAAATCAGTGCCTCCCTCCACACACACACTGCACCATTTTAACCTCAMACAATTACTTGCTACAGGCAAAGTTTTAATTACTGCACTTCAGARTTTAAACATAAGGTTCAACTCAAACCCTGATATCACTCAACTTCTCCTCAGTATTGCCAAATACCTATCTCAGTGTTAAATCTTTATTGTATTTCTGTTGTTGGTCTAAATCAGCAAACATTTTTATCCTTGCTAATTGAATTTTCTGTGACATTGTAAAAGGAAAAAARTAAGCAGAATGGCTTTCAATGCAGGAATCCTCCTGGCTTTGTTTTTAATTCAAAACCCTTCCTGCTGCAAATGGGCTGTACAGAAATGTGACAAAATATGCTTTCTGCTACACTCAGCACATCCAGCAAAATCTCTGTGCTGTTTTAGGGAGGAAAGCAGTCCCATGCAGCTGTAGCTGTGCAGGATGTGAAAATGCTGTCTGGTATTTCCAAAGATGCTTGGATGTGCCTGATTCTCATTCTGGCCATGTATTGGTACTGTTCTGTGGGGCCAGAGARGAGAGATTTGCTGAAATGCTGGCTTGAAGTTGTGTTTCTTGAAAAAACAAAAGCTGGAATCATGCAAAAGCTCAGAAGGAACATCACTCCCTAATSCAAATGCAGGACATTCATTCTAACAGGAGAACCCAAGCTCCAGGCTCCCTTGGACAGAAAACCTGTCAAAAAGGAAGTTGGAACAACTCRTTTTCGACCTTTGATCTGCTAGAAAGCCCAAAGTTGGCAAATGCACTGTGAAAAGCTGATGATGCTGGCAAAGAGCTGATGCACTGAGAAGAGGCAGCTCCTTAACCTCAATGGGGTGTGAAGGGTGGAATTTCAGCTCTGACACCACAGTGCTGCTCACCCCAAAGCCAACAGAAACCTCTAACTGCACCAGGACAGGGGCTAAGGCAGCCCAGAGATCTTTGGAGGATGCCTCTTTGCAGCTCTCATGCATCAAAGATTAATCTAAAGATACTGCTTTAGGAACAATATTTCTCCATAGTATAGAAAATATATGAGCCATGCTGGACAAGAAAAAGTCGAGGCTTAATTTTATATTTTATGGCTTATGWGCTGTCAGGAAAATACTGGCTCGATTCAAGAATTAGTGGCCACGTCTCAAATCTCTAAGATTTAGTCATTCACCAACACTGYTCAGAACTTTAAAAGATACTAAACTTGCAGTACTGTTATTGGAATAACTACAATAAATGGAATGTATATATTTTTAGTGGAATGTGAARATAAGAGGGTTTCTATTTCAATCCATTTTAGAAAAATTAATTAGGGAAAAAAAAAATCATTCAGGACCATTCATTCACCCCTTGTCAGCAAGATAAATAACTTCCWCTATTCATCACTGTGTCAAAGAAACAGCTTGCAATTTAACTTTAGCACAAACAAAGGGCAGCAGGGTGCATTTACTCTCTATTAGCAAATCTCAAACAGATTTCTGATACAAGATCAATGCATGGGATAATWGCATTTGCATAGACTACAGCTGTATGAAAGAGTTTTAATTCACAATGTTTCACAGGTATTGCAAGTGAAATATGCTCAGGTTTGCCCAGAGGTTCAAGTTCAGTGAATTTTAGATTTCAAGGGCAACGTTCCATAGGTGGAGAGTCCCTGAGCTTGTAAAACTGGAGGCATGAAGTCCAGAATAAACACAGCAAGAATGTTAACTGAGGTCTGAGAGCACATCTGAATTACAGAAACTTTGATCYAGTTCAAGTCCTCTATGTATTTTTCACAGCTCCAGTATACAATAACAGYAATGGAATGCAATATGGGTTAAGAAACCAAAAATGAAAAASAAAGAAAACARAACATTAAAATAAAATGTKAGRCATCAGGAAAACAAAAATAAATGAGCAAATTCAAAGCCCTCAAGAAAAAAGAAAGTATTAGTAGGTATTAATAGGTTGTCTGTGTTTTAGGATTAAAGGTATCACACATTYATCAGTTTATTTTTAATTATATTTACAATCAATATGTTACTATCAATAGTCATTTTTATTGACTATTGTGCCATTCAGTTTGCATTAATGTCTTCATGTTTACTTCTAAATGCTTTAATTTATACCATAAAAGTTCAGCAGATATTTTCTTGCCATTGAGAGGAGCTGAAAATACTTCAAACTGATAGTTTAAAAAAAAAAACTGATTTTTTTTTTCTTAATTAACAATTAAGTAGTAAACAAATGCCTTAACACCACTTCAAATTATTTCCCAAACTGGCTTCACAAAGCAGAAATTATTGTCAACCTTGTAATTCCGTGAGTATCTGTAAGCAGGCTTAGCAAAAGTCTCAGTATCTAAATAGTATAATATTTACAAGATGATTCCAAATTCTACCAAAAGATCATATTGTACAGTGAGATGATCAAATAAAATTCATCAGCTTTATCTTCTACTGCAGTAGAGGTATACATGGAAAAAAAATCTCTTGAATACTTACTTCATCATCACAGCTTATAGCACACTTGCCGTCGAGAGATGCACACTGAAGTGATATAAAAAATAATAAAATATTTTAATTTCTCATTTATGACTACAAAATAAAACATTTTATAAATTCTGTAACAATTTCAACTGCTTTGAATACCACAGTCTCCTCCACATTCTAGGATCTTTGGGACCAGTCATGGGTGAGAGATGATTTTCTGATGGGGTGGGGTCAGGGTTTATTTTCTGTARCAGCACAGCTCCAATCGATTCTCAAACTAGGGATGGCATTTSCTAATCTTTAGAAGGTTCCTGATTATCCCCTTCAGTGAGCACAAAGTCTGTCCCTGAATGGTTTAGGTAAAGTTTATTGAAGAGGATGAATGCCAACCATGATTCAGCAATGCAGTTYATTCAGAGAGAAAACCTCAGGGAAAAGTCATGATTCTGCTATCACTGGAAACAAATATCATGCTTTGTCTACTGTTTACACTTTTTCTAAGGGAGAAAAACCAGCTAACAAAGTAGCTCTTTATGTATTGGGGCCTAAAATTAATAAACTTTCTAAACTTTCTAATTGCTTCCAAAAATATGGGATCAAGCAACTGCAGTTCACTGAATTCTCCTTTTCTGTAATGATGAACCCAAATGTAAAACCAGAAAAAAAGTCTTCAAATACATTGTTTATTTACCATAGTTTGCTAGTGGYAAAATCATCACTTTCACAGTTACAAAGCTTTGTGGATTCAATAACAAAGAAAACTTCAATTTAAGMTATACCTGTCTGCTTGCAGTCCAAAATTTCCGCTGGAAAAATTCAAGTTTCATCTGGATACCTACAGCTGAGAAAGACAAAAACAAAAACAAAAACCCAGCATGCTTAATGATTATTTAAAATTACTCAGAAAGAAAAAGTCTTATAATGAGAAGAGAAAGTAAACCCAAAATAAAACCCCACACCTAATTAAATTGAAGAAACTACACAGTCACACTTTAAACCATTTACAGTTTAAACAGAAAGATGTTGGTTGTATAATGTGAAGAATACATATGGCAAAAAAAAAAGAAAGGAATTATTCAAATTGCCTGTCTCCATAATTAACACCAAAGAACCACAAGCTGAACATATTTATGTTCACACCAATCTAATTTATATTGTACTGGCACCAATATAACAGCTGTAGGAAACCCACACAAWGTGTTTTCTGCTGAAACCCGTGAAGATTTGCTGTAAAAACATGAAAGTGTTGGTGAACATTTCAGGTGATGATTTATTTTGAGGTCGTTTAATCCATAGATTAATCAGTCCAACGAAAGAATCATTAAAAATGTGTTTGAAAAAATTGAAGGAAAGAGTATTATGTGCAATKCTGTCAAAGGAAAGTATCTGGCAAATAATACTGGGTATCATTATTTTTGAAAAACTATATTAATGATAATGGATTACAATTCTTAAAAATGATTATTCAAGATAATACTGGTTTAAGTTATATATTTCTCATAATCTCAGGYGAGATTTTTTTGTTTCCAAATATCAATGAAGTTTTCTTCCAGCCTAGTCTGATGTTCCTATCATCATTTCTATTAAAGAGCAAGAGAAAAATGCACTGAGGTTTGCTTAAGCTCCAAAGGCAGTAGATTCTTCTGGGTTCATTTGCTTAAAAGGAGAGGATTTAAAAAAGCTTCAGTTTTAAAGCCTTAAAAACTCTGAAGATCTAACTCCTAGAAAATTCTTTGCTACAATGCTTTGTTTAAAAACAAAGCAAAAAAAAAAAAAAAAATGCTTTGTTTAAAAACAAAGCAAAAAAAAAAAAAAAGTTGTTTTGGAAAACCAGGCAAAATTTCATTTATTCATTCCTCCTCTAGGGTCTACAGCAGGAATCATTTAAAAACATATTTACATTTAGATTACTGGTACTTGCTTTTGCAAATGCACACACTGATGTCATGCATATATTTTACTTTGTGTTAGCAGGTAGGGAAAAGTACGTGAAATAAAATCTGATACAGTGGGATGTGAAATTACATAAGGAATTTCTTTATCAGAAAAAGTTATAAATATTTTTCTGCTATTTGTAACTCATGGATTTTTTTGCTTCAGAGAGCAAGTAGAGAAATCCTGTTCTCATTTTGAATAAAGAGCAGAGGAGACTCTCCAGCACCATTTTATTATCCAGGAATTAATGTTATGGCCCATGAGAAGTTGCTCTCTGACAGCCAAGCAGCAGAGTTTGCTCCATCCATTGCTTGCCTTGAGCTCCATTCTCAGCACATCCTGAAATGGAGGCACAACACACACACACTTTCAGGAACTCTCCACAAGGAAATCACAACATGTCTGGGTGGATACCACCACCCAGAAAACTATTGTTCTTGAAAACTATTAATGAAAGTGTAAGAAACATTAATTAAAAAGGCAAAAGTATTATTCTCCCCTCAGGAAGTTGTATGTGTATACAAATCTGAGAAGGATAATGGACTAGATGAGCTCAGGAGATCCCTCCCACTTCAAATTATCTTATGATTCTGATTTAAGTRTAAATATTTTGTAGGAAAGTGGCAACTTTCACGGCTCTTACAGAAAAAGGAAGTCAATATGCATTGAAAGGTTTCTGTGTCTGTACAAAACACACCACATATCAGAATCTGACAGAGTAAAAAGATAATTACAGCAAAGCTCATCTGTAAAAGTTTCCATGTGCATGTTTCACTGAGTTGCACAATGGAATGYTGTAGCATAACAATGGAAACACTGGGATTAATTTCTATGAAATGCAGAGCATCCCTGTCCATGAGGATGAGAAGAGGCAGCTGCAGGTTTGGTTTCATAGCACCAGCTCTAAGATTTTGATGCTTTCTTGGACAGACTTGAGGGAAAATGAAACAGTGAGGAATGCTGGGCATGCTCCCACTTGAACTGATTCTGCAATTTCAGCAGTAGTGTAATTTGTGCTGAAACTGAAGGTATAGGCATTATCCACTTAGTTACTGCCTGCCTTAACAAAAAAAAAAAAAAAAAAAAA